ATTTTTCTCCCATACATCTTGAACTTCCATTTGCCGTTTTGGCTGATGACAGAATGTTACTGTATCTTGGAAAAAGTACAATACTGTTTCTGCTTGTGCTTCTGAGAAATTCTTATTCTGTTGGAAATAAAGCTCCCTCCCACATATGTTCTTAAAACACCGCCTTGACCCCAAATGTTTTAGTAATATTCTTTATTGCATCCTGTGTTTGAAAAAAAAAAAAAACATGGAATAGATGACATAAAAACAAAAAACATGTTCTGTTGCCGTTGTTGGCTTGCGATACCGATGTAACTCTTGGTGAAAGGTTATCAGAAATTGTAGAAAATAATTATTTTTCATAATTTTTATACATATTTGTGGAAGATCTCAGAGATAAGTTATTAATACTGGAAATAATTCTTGCTTTGTTTTTCTTACTGAATAGTTATGCTAAACTAATTTTTATGTGACTGGGTAAATTGTCTTATCACAATGCATATATTCTAGAGGAATATAATTTTCTTGTGGACAAATATTTGAAAGAAGATTCATAATGTATGCAGTCCTCCCTTTACCGGGGTTGCGTTTGAAATAGAACACCAGGAGTTTCTCTACATTTCTGGTAACTATGACAACTGTTACTTTAGTGTTATTAGTCCAATGTAATTTAGCAGAGTAGGTTGCTAGAGTTAATTTTTTAGCTACATTGGGTTTTGATACTCATTATTGTAATTCTATATAATATTTAGAATTTATATTTAAAAATCACTTAGTCATAATACTGAGACATGCTCTATACTTTGTGGATTTGTTTTTTTGCTAGAGCCTCACTTTGCAGGGGGGCAGGTTAAGGGTCTCGTCCAAAGCCCCTGGATGAGTTGAAGGCAGAGCTGTCACTGAAACTTGTATGTTGCTGGTTGCCATGCAACCCTTCAATTCTTAAGGCTTAATGGACCTAAGATTTTGATCGATACAATTTTATTTCTTTTTCCTTCTTCAGCATATGTTTTATGCATCCTTTCTGTGTAGCTATTTCTTATCCATTCCTAAAATTAGGGAATTTTATTCCTCAGAAAACTTGGCACAAAGTGGAAGAAAGACGTGCTTGTGAAACTGCATAAGTGCTCTGCATTCTGTGCATGATCCAATGTATGTGGATTTAATTCAGATTTTAAATTAAAAAGTAGCCAATTTTTATTGTCATCATCTGATATGAAAAACAGTGTAGGCAGGAAAATGCATTTTTTAAAAGCTGCACACATTGAAAAATAAGTGAATTCAAGCTGGAAGTAAAGATGTTAAATTAATCTGAACAGAAAAATGTAAACATGAACTCAATTTAGGAATGTACCCTCATTAAAGTAAGAACCCATTTGGAAAGACTAAAGAAATTAGACAAAATGGGAGCCTAATCCTATTCTCCCGTATCTCATGTAGTTATGTCGTAATGTATGGTGGAGAAAAAAAGGAGTGAAATGACATTCACAGCATTAAACACTTTGCTCTTGTCTTGCACAAGGTGCCAGACAATGGAGAATATTGTCCAGTGTGATCTAATTTGAAAAGATATAAATGAATGCAGGTAAGAAAAACAACGCAAATAATTTCCTTCAAGTGGATGGAAGACATGTCAGAAGCAGAAATTTTGTTTGAGTATTTCAGATTATGCGTGGGTTTATGGTAAGGCAGCAGTGTTTTGAGGGCCAGTTTTGTCATCTGGAATATGGTTTGCTGGACCGTTTTATATCTCTGAGCATTTTGGCTGCAAATGAATCACTAAAAGAGCAGGCTATGTAGGTTCTTAACAGGCTAATATTGAAAATTATTTCAGTATATTTAAGCCTGTTAACTAGTTCATAGGCTGTTTGAAGCTCACTTTTCAAAACTTGGATGAAATTTCAATTATTACATCCAACAGAAATGTGCTGACTTTATAAAGGTGTATAGGAGACTAGAATTTTGTTAGTCATTTGTCATTATGCCCATGCAAATTTTTACATCTTACTTGTATATAATAGATGACATCCACAAAGTAATAGTATCCAGATTGCATATGGAATTTTTTTTGTTAATGTAGGATGGCATGCACATGCACACACACTGTGTGCCATGAACAGGTCTGTTCTTAAAGGAGCTGGATCTGTAATGGTCTTAGCATCTTTTGGAAAACTGTGAGGGTTAGTATTTAAAAACTGTAGTGTGATCATAAGTACAGGGGTCTCTCAGACACTTTGAGCCTGAAATATACACCTTGAAAATCCTATTTCCAGATGCCACCTAACGCTGATGGCACCGAAAATTCCCATTTGACAAAGAGTCACCTCAGATTTGACAGTGCTGAGCCCAGGTCAGTTTGTGCCTGCTTCACTTACTGAGTCATCTAGGCAGTGCTTTTAAGCAGTGCTGTAATAGATTGTTCACCACAGATGACCCTTCTTTAATGAATGATTTCAGAGGTCAAAATACTCTAGGGTACAGGAGGCAGGTGTGGGGAACTATCTTTTCTCCTAAAGAATATTTGAAACTTTATGTGTGCATATAGAGTTGGAACTGTTTAGCCTAGAGAAGAGGAAGCTCAGTGGGGATGTCAACAGTGCATATTTGAGGGGAGGCATCGAAGAAGGGAGCCAGGCTCTCTTCAGTGGTGCCCAGTGATAGGACGGGAGACAATGGGCACAAACTGAAACACTTCTTTACTGTCAGGGTGACCAAGCATTGGCACAGGTTTCCCAGGGTGGTTGTAGAGTATTCACCCTTGGAGACAGCCAAAAGCTGTCTGCATAGAGTCCTGGGCAGCCGGCTCTAGGTGACGGTGCTTGAGCAGGGGCTTGGACAGGATGACCTCCAGAGGCCCATTCCAACCTCAACCATTCTGTGTTTCTGTACTGCTTCCCAGTAAGGTGCCCTGACACCTGATTTGCAGGCTCTGTGAAGATGCCTTTATTCCTTCAGCCAAAGCAACACTTCTTAAATGAAAACAGTAAATATTAGCTTGCAAAAGAAAGCAAAAAGTGATCACAAGATTTACTGTGGCATTATAACCCAGAAGATTGGATGTAGCTATAAAGAGTGAAGTCGAGGGTTTAAAATGCTTGAACATCCACTGGAATGGGTACTTCCTCCAAGGAACTTGCCCTAAACATGAGGCTAGAGAAACTTACTCGGTATCACTCCAACTTAGTGTTCGTTTAATTGCTGCACAGAAAGTGGACTGACTCTGAAAAGGGGGACTGAAAATAAAAATAGCTCTCTGAGGACATCAGAGAAGATTGAACTCATGGTCCTGCTGTCCTGGTTGAAGGTTTTAACTCCTGAACTACTGGCTGAAAGAAGAAAACAGTGCTACCTTGCACTAGTTGCCTTCTGGAAGAAAAGGCAGCTCATTCTGCTTCTTGTTGTAGTCTTTCATTTTGAATAAAAAATACTCAGGTTCTTATTTCTAGGAAATTACCTCTGGCTCCGATTATTTAGGAGGTCCCACAGTGCTTCATGGAGAAAGCTTCCCCTTTCCTGTCTTGTATGTGTGCTTCTGAGCAGCTATGTACTTTACAGGTTACATATCACTCCACTGAAAGATGCAATATTTAGATTTCATTTGTGAATCTACTGATAGGTCCCTCTTAGGAAATCTTGATTGCCAGCAAAACTTCCCAAACCCAGTAAGAATCATGACTGTAACAGCTTTTAAAGGCCAGGTATAGAAGATGTCCAAATAAAAGCCTTTTTTTAATTGACTGTAGAGATTAAAATATGAAATCCAATAGAGTGCTATGCTTCCTCTTCAAACTGAAGAACAAATTTGGCTAAGGAGTCGTATTCAAGCATGATTTAAAAATTCTGAATCCATCTGTGCTTTCTGTATGCTAAACATCAGCTGTTAGTAATGCTTTCCTCTGCTTTTAGGAGTTCCTGGATGTAGCGAATCTAGGCATCTTAGGAGAAGATAGCCATTTCATTGTCAGGACGCAGAGGAGAGCATCAACATCAATCATATCCATCTACAAAGCCTATTGAGAAATGATGCCTGGGTCAGCCTGTGGCATAAGTAAACAGTTTGAGATCTGAGGAAAAGGTAGAATTAATTGTTGGTTGGAAACATTGCATTAAAATACTGAAAGTTTCAGAGAAAAGTAGTTAATTACTCTTACTAAATTAACTCATGGCTTTATTAAAAAAAAACCCAAACATTTTACAGATGGTTTAAAATATATACATTTGCAAAAGGTGTTTCTGTTTTTAATAAAATTATAAAATTTAAATCCTTTTTGAAGGAAGGGAAAAAAACAATGGAACACCAAAGAATTTCAAAGGTGTGGGCCGCACTTCCATACTGCTGTTTGCATAAGCAAATTGAAATATGGCTAAAATATATATTTTCTTAAAAAGCAAAGAAAAATCCATGAGATTATGAAAGTATTCCTCATTCTGATTAAACCTCTTGACTCAGCTTACAGATAAGTCTTCCATCCTTGTACCTGTTTTTCTGACTACACTGTCTGTGTTAGCTTTTGTAGCAGGATGTTCTTTGGAGCTGGATCTTTTACTGTGTTATTACTGAGTTGAGAAAAAAGCTTCAGATTTTAACTGAGATAGGTAGTAGATTCTATAGCAAAAATAATTAATGTAGCTATTAAGAAGGTGCTTTTTAAAGTAAGGGGCTAACTCTGTTTATTCCTGTCTGCACTGCCCAGAAAGACATTGTGAACAACTGCTGTTGGAAGCTGCATTTAAACAAGTGGGTTTGCAATGTTTTGGGTCTTGGATGGAAAAGTGAGCTCGCTCTAGGCCATGGTTGCATAGGCAGATTCAGGAGATTGTTTTCAGGGATTCCTTTTTTTAAGATAGTATTTCATCTGATTCTTGCCTGTGTGTGCTCTGAGCAGGTATGGAGACCTTCTGATCCGTGCCTCTTCTTGTTCTTATGGCTGGGGATAGATTTCTCTGAAACTGTTTGTGTAGACATTGTGACTTCCAGCAATTTACTTTTTTTTTTTTTTTTTTTAAACCTTTTTCTCTAGGTGCAGGAACCTTACATTTCCTGACAGGCTTCCTGAGGTCAGCATTGTATTCATATTTGTTAATGAAGCTCTCTCGGTTATTCTGCGCTCCATTCATTCAGCCATTGACCGGACTCCAGCTCACCTGCTCAAGGAGATCATTTTAGTTGATGATAACAGTAATAATGGTAAGTGGTTTTGGTTCTTCCCCTCACACGCACCTCTCCCCTCCCCCAAGGTTTGATCATTGTACATGAAAAACCTTGCATTCTGGCTCCTGCTCATCCCATTGGCATTTCAAATGTTGTCAGTGTATTTTCTCCCTTCTTCATCTCAGTCTTGCTGGGCTGTCTTCAAATATGCACAAGTGGGGCATGTTAAAAAGAGTACGTACAAAGATGGGATGCTGTTTCTATGTGTTTAAGGTGTGTGGTAAGCAGAATTCTGAGTGTAACAATAGTTTAGAGACCTAAGAAGTTTCACTGTTAGCACTTCAGAGTACTTTCAAGATTAGATGCTTTGTGTGCTCTTCCTGTTTCAGTTGGATGATTCTATGTGCATACTCACACTCTCTTTTGTATAAAACATCTTTCTGTATTTCTTAGACATCTCCTTTATATTTTCAGTTCTCCTCCCCTCATTAGCAGCATTTACCTTTCTGCTTTTCAGTGTATGTTCTCATATTTTGCTCTCCATGATCTGAAGGACTGGACTGTCCATATCTGATTGTTCAGCAATTGCCTAGGTGTTTGTCAGTAGGCCATGCTGGGCATTATTTGCAAGTCTTATTTTCTGGCAAATTTAGTAATGAAATTTTAGTAAGCACAGGATGCTGAACTTAAAGAAAAATTTTGTTCTGCTGGGGGGTTAATCTTAAAATACAAGGAGTATCTGAATTTATCCCGTTGAAGGAAAATGCCGAACAAGGGGCATCTCTTATCCTTGCCATCATTACAGGTGTTATGTGATCCCTGTAGCTGGGTCCTGTGACTCGCTGCTGATCATAAACCTATCTCAGCTTTGTATGGAAAATAAACTTACTGGGAAACAAGTAAATAAGTTCCCCACCCCAGGCTGTGCACTTCGTTTCCTCTTCTGCTGACCGTCAATGAAGGAAAAAGTAAAATCCTGACTCTTTAAAGTACATACGAAACCCAACAACTTGATGTAGGCTTATGTCAAATCTAATTCCAGTCCCGGTGAATAATACTCTCTTTGGAGTTACCAAAGGCTGACCAAGCTTTTCTTGAAACACCTACTCATGGAACAGTGTGGGTAAATTGGCACACAGGATTTTTTAGTTCTTGTTCTTAGTTCATGGCACAATTTAGGATGTGGTGAAATAAACAGAAGGTCACATGAAACAGTAAACTATGAACAAAGTAAAAAAAAAAAAGTCAACATGTATGCACACGCATACATGTGATTCAGAAAGGGCTTGTGAACTGAGGTAGACTTTTGATGTGCTTCAGCATGTAATTCAGTCATTTGACATGTTGTTTTACTCATGCACTGTTGCTGGCCTTAATTTTTGCCTACTCCCTCATGCAATACATGACAGTTGGAAAGGAAGAAAAAAATTGGAATACAACTTTGAATGGTGGACTTGGGCTCTGGAATGTGTTTGTAGAAATTCATTCCTGGATCTTTCAAACAGGTACAGTTAATGTGATGACAGGACCAAAATGAATCTGAATGGCTATTGGCGCTGCAGGGCCTGAGGCCTCTGGATATGAAGGAACTGGCCACAAGGCAGCCATAGAAGAAGAAAAATAGTCTGGCTGAAAAAAGTGGTGTCTGGAGTTTGAGTTTGATTTTCTATCATTTACAGTCAGAAACATCAGTGTTTCTGAGAGCCTGTCATCACTGTGAGGAGCTCACTAACAAATACACTTTGCACCATGCTCATAAGCTTGTCAAAAGTATTCTTTTTCATTATTTCTTACCTGAACTAGGTAAGAAATCACAGGAACCACTTAATCTTTCAGGAAGACCTGTTCAGCCACATTTGTTTTTTAGTATCAGTATTGGTACTTTACAGTATCATATTTTTATGATTGGCTCTGCCTTTCATTCAGTCTTGCCTTTCTAACCCTCCAGTGCCTTAAATCCTTAGGTTCCTGGCCCTAAACAGGAGGACAGAAATTGAGAGGAAGGTAACCTTTGGTTTTGGTGTCTTGGCTGGATGTTACATGTCATTCTTTACAAAATCACACTGTGCAGAGTGATACTTAGTCTCCTAGAAAAATTCAACTCTCTTCCAGGATTTTCTGCTACTCCTCTAACCCTTTTTCTGGCATCTCTTCCCTGCAGTAGTTAATTAGATTCCTACAGTCCTCTTTATTCCATAATGTATGCTGAAGACCTTGTAATAGGCATCCATTTGGAGAGGATGGATGTTTGGTAGGGAAGGGAGTGATTGTAAAGATGATTTATGGGCTTTTCTATTATTAGTTTAAATCATGAAATATTTATTTTACAATTTACTTTTGCTTTTACAATGTTCTATTTTCAGTTTTTTTCCTCCCTTCTAGCATTGCTGAAACTAATCCTTTATATTTAGTGTCATTCTATGTTTTTGTTAGTAGCTCTTTAGCTTGCAAGTGTTGCTGCTTGTAAGATAAGTGGGTTACTCTAGGTGTTCCCTGTAATGTTACCTGAGGGGGCAAAAACTTGCTTTGTGCTTGCATCTGGCTCCAGACTCTGCTTCTCACAGGGACCTGTCAGAATCCTAATTTCAAGCAGTATGTTTACTCTCAGGCTTTTGCTGGAGATGGCAACTTTTATAACTCAATGTAAGATTTTTTTTTCTCTGATGCCAGAGCTGTGGACTTCACAGTCAAGAAAGATCACACTATGGAAAGTGACTAGAGAGAAAAAGTGAGAAACAGAGATCAGGCAGAATGCAACTGAACATGTTTTTTATTTTGAGTCTCTTGCGCTGTTTGGTTGGATTCACATGGTGGTTTAAAATAAAAGCAGATGTGATGATTGGTACTAGAGGAGGGCACCAGAATTTCCCGCTTCTGAGGGGAAGCGATAAACTGGTAAACGGGTATAAATCCTTGCTGTGGGCCAGACTCTGAATCTAGTAATGAAAACCTGGATTCATCCCTAATTTCAATAGATCAGTGTTTCAGAAAGGAGCAGTGCAACTAGTTGCTTTTTAAAATTTCAGAACGCTGATTTCAGAAACCGTATATTCAAGTGTACAGCCAAAGTCTGTACATTTGTCTTGAACAATATAAGCTATAGTATTTTATTTTATGCATTTTAGAGTATGTCAAGCAAATTATCTATGACTTTCTCTAAATCTCAGTGCAGTTTTTCAAGTTCCCAATTATGTTTCAGGAGACCTCAATTAATCTCTTTGTGAAGCTTCCTTTTTTTAAAATAAATGTTTCAGAATAGGAAACTGTGAAAATGCCGGTGTGTGCCATTTAAAAGCAGAAAACATATTTAACAGGTCCCAGAATTTTGATCCTACATTTTAATAAAGCTGTTTGCATGGCTTGGTATATGTATTTCACCATACCATCTTTTCTGGTGGAATTCTGATAAACATAACACTGAAATGTTTCCTGCATGCTGTTAGGTACATTAGTGTTAAAATTCAATTTAATTGAAGGTTAAAAAAAAGTCCATTTCAGTGACAGCCTGTGTACTGTATAATGAGAACAAATGATTTATTAAAAAACCCAAACCATGTAAGTGGTGTTCATTTTGGTCTCAGACACATTGGTGCGAAATAGAGCAATTGCACAGATTTCAGCTGTTTTACTGTAGTTTTAAGTTCTGTCTGTCAGGTCAGATTCTTTCCCATTCTCCTCAGGAGCATTCTTTGCTTTTTGGAGATAATGTACTCATTAGTTTATAACTTGGCAATAAAATAATTTATTCATTTTTGTCTTCAGAAAGAGCAGACTTTTCCAGTCTGCTGCATTTGAGGAGAGGGATCTGCAGAGAAGCTTTAAAACAACTTTAAGTGACCATGCCCATGACTGCTGGTAGTTAATTAGACCTCAGAGATGTAGTTGGAAAAAGCATGGCCGGAGCTGGAGAATAGTGTTTTATTCACTTTCTGATTTGTTGCATCCTGCTCTCTAGGGACGGGGTGGTGACCTTCTGTGCCACTGGAGTTCTGTCTTGGCTTTTGAGTCCTTTTGCTGGCATTGAGCCCCACTGCATTATGAAACACCTCTTGAAGGTATTTTAAGATGATTTGAAGTCTCTCTAAAAAAGCTCATTGTGAGCCAGGATGTGTTCAGCTTCATGGGGTGACAGTATGCATTAATGTGTCCAGAGTATGCCTTACAAAATTTTATATTATAGCAGTAATTATCATCCTCTATGACATTTTTTCATATTAAAGTTAATAATAAATGTTGCAATAGAGGTTCAGATTTCATAAGGTTTCTTCCTTTTTCTTTGAATTATTACTTATGAATGAAATATTTGAACATGTTCAGCTTAACAGTTCTAATTTTGTCCTGATATTTCCATGAATACAGCTATTGAATTGCAGTAATAATGCTGGATATCACAGGATGCTAATTTTATGACTTGCAGTGTTGAAGAGAATTAGCACAGGGTGGTAGAAAGTGGGTCAGATGCAACTGTATAACCTTCCAGAGCTTTGCAACATTGTCCTCAAAACACTGAATAAAAACAAACTTTTCAAAAAGCATCCAGAGCTTTTCATGGGAAAGGTGTATTTCTTCTTTGGTTATTTTTAAGAGATATTTGGGAATAGAAGATTGTCTGATTTTTTTTTTTTTTTTCATTACAAAAGCAGTGATGAATAGACCTCAAAAGTACTGTTCAAATGCATGCTAGATTTCATATTACAGCATATTTTAAAGATGGCTGAATTGTAGACCAGACAACTATGAATGTTAATTTAAAAAAACCCTATTAATAACAATCTCCTAGGGAAAACTTTAGGACTTGCTGTCCTTCTGTTTGGCTTCTTGTTCTTCACTTACCTGAATGTCAGCAAAATTCAAAGGAAAAAAACATTTAGAAACAAGGAAAAAGCTAAACCTGCATTCACTTTTGGACTTGTGCACCTTCAGGTTCCTTAGACGGCCTCAAATGTGACCTTCTCCTGCAGTGGGTGATTCTTCTTTCTCCCAGTCCCTGCCTCTGCTTTCTGTGTCTTGGGCAGTGTGTCTGGAGCCCTTGCCAG